GTCGTATCGAGTACTCGAGTGTAAGGAAATTTATTCCTTACCGGATTGTACTGCAATCGCGTACACCCGAACTCTCGGAAGACCAGGCTCGGTCCGTTTCTGACGCGACCCCGAGGCACGCCCGTGCCGCCTCCAACCTTTTCGACCGCGCCTGTACCCAACCTAGCCCTCCGGGTTCGTCGCCTAGCTAGAGCACTCGCTATATAATGCTAGGTTATCTTTCTTGTACTCGTGATTATTATTCCGCGCACTCTCAGTTATTATTCATAACATTATCAGAGCACTCTCAGTTATTATTCCGCGCACTCTCAGCTATCTGGTATCAGAGCTACTTTCCTGGTTCACCCCGCTTTCTCAGGGTAGTTTATTTCCAAGGAGTGGTTAACCCTGCGTGGCTGCAAAGCGGTTGTCCGTGAGCTAAAGTTATTAGCTCACACAACTACTATAGCGTTTGCGCCCCCTACGGTTTCTTACCACGGCCTTCCCCCTGCCCGAAAGGCGTAGCATTCGCATCATGTCCCAGGCCCAGCTAGACGAGGTCATGGCTCAGATGCAGGCAATGCAAGCCCAGATGGCGAGTTTGAACAGTGAAGTCGTGAGACTTTGGACAGAGAACACCGAGCTTCGCCAGACGCGTGGTGAAGCGCATCAAGAGTCGCCTGGAGTCGCCGAAGACGAGGTCAAGCAAAGTGCCGACGACGCAGCGAGCGAAACCGTCCTTGACGAGCTCGCACGGGAGTTGGAGCAGGACGACGTGCGCACTGTGACCGTAACGAAGATTAAACTCAAGCCAGCAACACCGCCCCCGTTCAACCCTTCGGACAAGGCGACGACGGTGCAAGGGTGGCTGTTCAGCATGGAGCTGTTCTTCACGGCAGCAAGTGTGCACACCGATGATGCGCGCATTAATTATGCCGTGTCGCTGCTCCGAGGACCGGCGTTGGATTCGTGGCGACGACAGTTGGCGATTGGGACTACGGCAGGAGTGAAGCAAGCGAAGGACGGGACTTCGGACTCTTCAAACCAACAGGCAGAAACAATATTCGGTACGACCGCGATTCGCATGTGGAAACAGTGGGGCAGAGCTCTGCGAGCTCGTTTTGAGCATTCATCCGCCTTAGACGACGCTCGCATGAAGCTGCGCAACTAGCGGCAGGTGACTATTGTTCAAGATTACACTGCGTCGTTCTCGGCACTTGCGGACCAAGTCGACGACCTCAGCGAAGCGGAAAGGCGGGACAAATATGTTAGCGGGCTGCATTTCGATATTCAATACGAGTTGCAGCGGTCCCGTCCCAAGACGTTCGATGAAGCTGTCCAGTTGGCATCAGCAGCCGATGCACTGCAGCAGTGGGCGAGAAAGAACAACAGGGATGTTGGTCGTTTTCGTGGACAGTCTCCCCGCCCCACGATCAATGGCGTGTCAGCGCCCGATGAAACATTTCACAGGCTATGTTATCGATGTGACAAGCCAGGTCACCGAGCTAAGTACTGCCCGACGGCGCCCAAGAAGACGAGGAACGACAAGGAGAAGCCGGGAAATGGGAAAAGTCAGTAGCAGGCGGGCCCCCTACTGACGAGGCTTTGTCGCCTGAACTTCAACGTTCCCACCAAGTTGTGGTACCGATACACGCTATCGACCACACTCGGACGAATAACGGGAGCGAACCTGAAGATCACCATGTGCTGGTAGAAGGCAAGGTTAACGGCAAAAAAAAATAAAAAAAAATGTGGATGGCGGAGCAAGTCACAGTCCCATTCACGTAACAACAGCGAAGCAGTTGAAGCTGACGTTGGAAAAAATTCTTCCCGAAATCGACGCGCGACTGGTGGACGGAACTCCACTTGCAATTCGAGAACGAGCGCGCATGGTGCGGATGAAGTGTGGCGACGACTTCGGATTCAGCATGCCCATGCTGGCCACGACACTGGACGGCTGCGACATTCTGCTTGGGCGTGATCGGCTGCGAAAATACAATCCGAGGATCGACTGGACAACTGGCGAATGCAGCGTACACTGTGCGAACGGGTGGCGCGTACTTCCAAGCTGGCGTGGGAGAGATCCGGTGTCGACACGTGTCAACGCCATCACCCTCCAACGAGCAATTAAAAAAGGAGCTGATCTGTACGCCGTCCACCTGGCCGAAGCGACGGTCGACGACACGCCAAAGGACTGCTGTTAGGATTGGTTGGGAAGGGACAAATGTCAAAGTTGGGGTTCCTATAGGGAGGGAATCTTTGTGCTTATGGGGTTTCCTTGGTTGGGGACTCTCTTGGGACCTTCCCTCTCATCCCTCTCTTCCTATCCCAACCTTTCTCTTGCTCCTTCTAATTCCTTGTGAGATTCTTGAACTTTGATTGAACTCTTGAGATTGAGTTAAGTTCTCCTCCTACAGCTTACCCCCTAGTGCGTCGAAAGCCATAGCGTCGCGAATACTTCATCAATCAACGTGATTCAAATTGGGAACGGTAGCTGAGATCAAGAGCTACAACATATCCAAGTTTCGCGACATTCCAACGGCTAGTGTTTTGTCGACGTCGTTTCTTGTGAAGACGACTTTTCTGTCCAGAATTTCGGATTTATATTTTGAGTAATTCTAGCTCCTAAGTTCACCTAGACTCTGTCCTTAATCCTAACAAGTGGTATCAGAGCTGTATTAAGGACGTTGAGAGGAGTCTACAGAAGTGTGAAGACCCTTCTAGACCCACCATGGCCTGTGGGTGTGCCTAAGTGGTGTTCTAAAGGTTGGATGTGTCTTCCGCTAAGGGAAACTCTGCCGAAATTTCGTGGACGCCGACACTTGTGAAAATATCGAGGGAGCTGAGTGTGGACAGCAAAGGGGGGCTGAAATTCGTCATTTCTCAAGGAGAAGATGAATGAGAGAGGAGGAGATGCTAATGGAAGAGGAGCTGTAGCTGAGAAGACAAGTGAGCCGCCGCCATCAAAAGTTGAAGCTTTGGATGGCTCCAACTATGAGGAATGGAGCGGACGGATGAGGAGTGCCTTCAAACGCTACAAGCTCCTGAAGATTGCTGTTGGGGAAGAGAAGATGCCGGAAGAAGGCGAAGCACGTGAACGGTGGATTGAGAAAAGCGCGGTGCTTTTCGACCTCATTCTTCAATCGGTCAACAAGGAGATGTTCGAGCACATCAAGGATCTTGTGGAAGCGGATGATTCGGGTCCAAGGGCGTGGAAACTACTACGTGATGTGGTTCAGCCCAACACTCTCCCGATGGTGATCGTGCTCGAGAAGGAACTTGCTGCCATCTCCATGCGACCAGGGGACGATGTGAAGCCGGTCCTTGACAAGATCAAGGACACCTATGCAAGGATGGCAGCAGCGGGCAGCAGTGTATCTCAGCTGCAGCAGTGCACCAAGATCATCTCGGTGTTGGACAACTCTTGGGACAACCTCATCCCCACCCTCAACTCTCAGCAAGATCAATGGACACCTGAGTGGCTAAGGCAGCAGATTCTGCAGGAGGACTTCCGCAGACGCCATGTGGGAGGCGGTGCTGCCACTAAGACTGCTGAGGGGTATGGAGCTGCAGGGCGCAGCAGAGGAAGAGGGGGTTGGAAAGGCCGAGGCCGTGGGAGGAGCTTTGGCAGAGGTAGAGGCCGAGGTGACTATAATGAGGGGCATGGGAGCTCTAGTGGCAGGGGGAGTACCAGAATGGAGGGCACGTGCTGGTACTGCAAGAAGGTTGGGCATCCTTGGTTCAAGTGCTTCAGCAGGCTGGAGGGATGGGCACCTCCAGGCATGAAGCCGCCCAGTGGTGAACGCGCACAAGGTGGCGCTGTGCAAGGCTCAGGTGCACAAGGTGAAGGTGCACAAGGTAATGCCTATCCTGGTTTGTTTGTTATGGTTGAGGATGTGCATGGGCATGAGGGTGATGTGGGATCTGTGGGAAAGGTTGTGATGCACCCTCTCACGCACTGGGTGATTGATTCGGGTTGCACCAGTCACATGACTCCACGGGCAGATTTGCTTGATGAGGTAAAACCCCCTGGGAAGATTAAGTATGTGGCAGCAGCGTCAGGTGCTTTGCTCCCCGTGATTGGTGTTGGGAATGCCAAGGTTAAGGGAGCTAATGGGGAGCTTGTGGGGCTTGGGAATGTTCTGCTGGTTAAAGGCTTGTCTGCTAACCTTCTCTCTGTGCGGCGACTGCAGAAGAGTAAGGCCGAAGTGACCTTTGGACCAACCAGCTGCCGTGCTAAGCTTGGGAAGAAGGTGCTGTGGAGTCTGGAAGAGGAGACCAGCTGCATCAAGGACCTGTGGCAGCTGCCCATCATCCCATGGAATGGGAAGACTCCAACAGCAGCAACGGCAGCAGCGGCAAAGGCAACAGCAGGAGGAGATGCAACTGCACCAACTGATGGGGTCCTGGAAGCAGTCAAGAAAGTGCAGCAGCAGCAGACACATGGTGAGGTGCTTGCTGGTGTGGATGCGAGTGCGGCATGGGCTAAGGCTTCATCAAGGAGTGGAGAGGCCGATTGGGAGACATGGCATGAGAGGCTGTGTCATGTGAACTTCCCTATGCTGCAGAAGTTGGTGAAGGATGGGAGCCTGAAGGGCTTGGAGGTGAAAGGGGGAGTGAAGGAGATTGGGAGCTGCCCTACATGCTTGGAGACCAAGTTCTCCAAGTTCCCCTTCAACAGCACTACAGGACCAGCCAAGACCCCACTTGCACTTGTGCACATGGATGTGGTGGGGCCCACAAGAGCCCCTTCCCTCTCAGGCAGCCGCTATTTCTTGACAATTGTGGATGACCACACTCGGGCAGTGTGGGTTTACCCTTTGAAGAGCAAGGGGGAGGTGGCAGCGGCTGTCCTTAAGGAGTGGATGCCTAGAGCTCAGAGGGAATGCGGACACAAGGTGAAGGTGATCCGCAGTGACAATGGTGGGGAGTTCATTGGAGCTGATTTTGAGGGGGAGTTGAAGAGGAAGGGGATCCAGCATCAACTGACAGTGCCCTACAACCCGCAGCAGAATGGCGTGGCTGAGAGGTTCAACAGGACCCTGCAGGAGGGGGCACGCACTCTCCTTGGGCGTGCAGGGCTACCTGATCCGTTTTGGGTGTCTGCACTGAGGCAGGTCGCCCTTGTGAAGAATAGGGTGCTGGCTACAGTTGGAGATAAGGAGTGGATCCCATATGCCAAGTGGTATGGGAGTGCTCCAGCGGTGAACATGCTGAGGGCATTTGGGTGCATGGTAGTGTTTCATGTGCCTAAGGAGAAAAGAGGGAAGTTGGAGGCTTCTGGAAGATGGGGTGTGCACTTGGGGATTGCAAAGGATCACAAGGGATGGCTTCTATGGGACTTGACCATCCAGAAGCTGACAGTGTCAAGGGATGTGAAGTTTCTTGAGTCCCTGTACTATAAGGAATGGAAGCAGCAGCAACAGAAGCTTCCATCTACACCACTCATTGTGGAGGCAGATGAGTTGCAGCAGCCTTCAAGGCAGGTGGAGGTTGCAGTGTCTGAGGAGGAGATATCTGGGGTGACTGAAGAAGGGGAGCAGCTGAAGTGGAGCAGCAACAGCAACATGAGTCTCCACCTCGAGTTCCACACCCGCCTGAGCGACCTAGGAGGGATGTGCGCCCTCCTGTGAGGCTGACCTATGGGGGAAGAGGCAAGCCAAATGTGGTGCAGGCTGGGAGTGTGGTTGAGCAGATTGAGGAAGATGAGATCGCTCACTGCTACTGGGCACCAATCCCTGAGCCCAAGACTCGAGAGGAGGCCTTGAATGGACCAAATGGGGAGAAGTGGAAGGCGAGTGAGGATGAGGAGTTCGGGTCCCTAATTGAGAACGAGACATGGGACCTGTGTGACTTGCCTCCTGGAAAGAAGGCAATCACTTCCAAGATGATCTACAGGCACAAGTATGGACCTGAAGGGGAGCTGACCCGCTACAAGTCCAGGCTTGTGGCAAGGGGGTTTCAGCAGACAAAAGGGAAGGACTATGATGAGGTGTTTGCTCCTGTGGGGAAAGGAACAACACTGAGGGTGCTGTTAGCGATAGCTGCACTCCTGGGATGGAAGATACGGCAGATGGACATTGTGACTGCTTTTCTGAATGGGATCATTATGGAGGAGGTGTACATGAAGCAGCCAGAGGGGCTGGATGACGGGAGCGGCAGGGTCTGCAGGCTGAAGAAGGCCATCTATGGCCTTAAGCAGGCGCCTCGTGCATGGTATCACAAGTTGGAGGAGGCGCTGTTGGCTGGGGGTTTCAAGAAGAGTGAGTGTGACCCCAGCCTGTTCCTGCTGCAGGAGAAGGATGAAATCCTCATGCTCTTGGTGTATGTGGATGATATCCTTCTCTTTTCTGCATCAACTGCTTTGCTGGACAGCGCAGAGCAGATGCTGGAGATGCAGTTCAAGTGCTCCAAGATGGGTGAGGTGAAGTACTACTTGGGGATGCACGTGGAGAGAGATGTGGAAAAGGGTGTGCTGAGGTTGCACCAGAGGAAGTACTGTGAGGGGCTGGCTGAGAAGTATGGGCTGCAAGATGGGGGAAAGCCAGCAACACCACTACCTTCAGGGTTTACTGTGGAGCCATGTGCTGATGAGGAGGTAGTGGGTGATAGTGACAGGAAGCTGTTTCATTCGATGGTTGGGTCGCTGAATTATGCTGCAAATCATACACGGCCTGACATTGCATTTGCTACATCACGATTGGCTAGTGTGGTCTCACGCCCTAGTCATGAGCAGCTGGAAGCGGCCAAGAGGTTGGTCCGCTATGTGAGCGCTACGGCATCAGTGGGATTGGAGTACAGTGGAGTGAGGCAGCGGTTGCAGAGAGGTGCTGCAGATGTGAAGAGTGGAGAGATGCTCTTGAGTTGCTATACTGACGCTAGCTTCAACTCAGTGAAAGCGGATGGCACCAGCTTTGGGGGTTTGGGAAATTTGTCACTCACTGTAACAGCTGCAAATTGGTTGGGAACAACCAAGCTAGGTTGGCAAGGGTGGCCAACTTGGATGGATTGGTTGGGAAGGGACAAATGTCAAAGTTGGGGTTCCTATAGGGAGGGAATCTTTGTGCTTATGGGGTTTCCTTGGTTGGGGACTCTCTTGGGACCTTCCCTCTCATCCCTCTCTTCCTATCCCAACCTTTCTCTTGCTCCTTCTAATTCCTTGTGAGATTCTTGAACTTTGATTGAACTCTTGAGATTGAGTTAAGTTCTCCTCCTACAGCTTACCCCCTAGTGCGTCGAAAGCCATAGCGTCGCGAATACTTCATCAATCAACGTGATTCAAATTGGGAACGGTAGCTGAGATCAAGAGCTACAACATATCCAAGTTTCGCGACATTCCAACGGCTAGTGTTTTGTCGACGTCGTTTCTTGTGAAGACGACTTTTCTGTCCAGAATTTCGGATTTATATTTTGAGTAATTCTAGCTCCTAAGTTCACCTAGACTCTGTCCTTAATCCTAACAACTGCCACATACTTTGTGCCAGTGTCCCTGCCGAGCTCGCCGCGCTGATTCGACAGTACCCTGATATTTTTCCGGACGATCTGCCAGCAGGACTGCCACCCGAGCGCCCCCAGGACCACAAAATTGACCTGGAACCCGGCGCGCAGCCTACAGTCAGGACCCAGTGGCGGCTGACTCAGCTCGCGGAGTTGCGAAGCCAACTGGACTACCTCTTGGAGAAGGGGTTCATTCAGCCCAGCACTTCCCCGTTCGCAGCACCCATCCTGTTCACGCCCAAAAAAGACGGCGGGCTGCGAATGTGCATCGACTACAGGGCGCTAAATCGGCGAACGATCAAGTCCCGCTACCCAATCCCACGCGCGGACAATCTCCTCGATCAACTTCGCAGAGCTCGCTTCTTCTCGAAAATCGACTTACGCAGCGGTTACCATCAGATCCGAGTCTTCGCTGACGACTACCACAAGACGGCGTTCCGAACCCGCTATGGCAGCTACGAGTACAGAGTGATGCCGTTTGGCCTCACGAACGCGCCATCCACTTTCCAACTCACCATGAACGGCGTATTCTGAGATCTACTCGACAAGTGTGTCATCGTCTATCTTGATGACATTCTGATCTACAGCAAGACACAGGAACAGCACCTCAAGGACCTTGAGCAAGTTTTCCGACGGCTGCAAGAAAATCGGCTCATCACGAAGGGCTCCAAGTGCGAGTTCCTAAAATCCGAACTGGAATTTTTGGGACATATCATGGGAGCGGACGGCATCAAAATCGACCCGAAAAAAATCACAACGATTCGCGACTGGAAACCGCCGACGAATTTACAGGAGCTGCAGAGTTTTCTCGGGTTCGTTAATTATGTCCGGAGGTTTATCCCCAATATGGCAGGGAAAACCGGATCGATAACTGACCTGCTGCGGAAGGGCACTTTGTTAAAATGGGGGGAGAGACAGCAGACTGCTTTCGATGAACTGCGAAATTTTCTGACGTCGCCCCGGTCCTCCGAATCGCCGACCCATCTCGACCGTTCGAAGTCTTGACGGACGCTAGCGATTTCGCCATCGGTGCGATACTGTTACATTTCGGCGACGGACTCCAACCCATCGCGTATGAGTCTAGGAAGTTGCAGGCAGCCGAGCGCAACTACCCTGTCCACGACAAAGAAATGCTCGCCATCGTGCACGCATTCAAGGTGTGGCGATGCTACCTGACGGGGGCCGACGTGACAGTATGGATAGACCATAAATCCCTACAGTACCTCCGCGCGCAGCCGAATCTAAATCCACGACAGTTTCGCTGGCTGGACTTCCTCGAACGCAACTTCCACTACACCATCACGTACCAACGGGGAGCGAATAACATCGCTGACGCGCTGACAAGACCATCCGCCCACCTCGCCTCACTCATCGTCGCAAAATCCAACCCGCTGCTCACTGGCCTATTTACCCACTGATATACCACAGACCCTTTTTTCACCCGCAACCACCACCAACAAGCCACCATAGCCAAAGGACCTTACTTCCTAAAAGCCGGTACTGACCGTATCTGGGTTCCCGCTTACCGACTCCTCCGCGAATTACTTATTCAAGAAGTCCACGATTCTAACCTCTCCGGTCATTTTGGGGTTGATAAAACCCAGAAGTTACTTCACCGTTTTTATTATTGGCTTGATTCGGCGTCTGATGTGCAGAGATACGTATCCGCGTGCCCGATCTGCCAACGCATGAAGTCTTCCCGACGGTGGCCAGCTGGACTGCTGCAACCGCTAGAGCCACCCCAGCGACCGTGGCAACATGTGACGATGGACTTCGTCACGGGGCTCCCGGCCGCCGCCACGGGCAACGACGCCGTCCTGGTCCTCGTCGATCGTCTGACGAAGATGGCACACTTCGCACCCTGTCGCACAACAATCACAGCCGAAGATACAGCAAAGCTTTTCATCTCCACCGTTGTTCATCTGCACGGCCTACCCTCAGCGATCATCAATGACCGCGACCCAAAATTCACGTCCAAGTTCTGGCAGGAGACATGGGCGCAGTACGACACACGCCTCCAGTTTTCCTCCGCCTACCATCCTCAAACCGACGGACAGACAGAGCGAACCAATCAAACCATGGAGCAGCTGATACACACCAATTGCCCGGATCCTGCCTGGTGGGAAGAATTCCTGCCCATGCTGGAATTTTCGTACAACAATGCCCCATCCGCCACGACTAATCACTCGCCGTTTTTTCTAAACTACGGCATGGATCCGACAGTCCCGACGACTACCAACATCGACAACCCAGTGCCACGTTCCCAGCAGTTCGTGACCAGTTTGCAGGAGGCCCGCGAAAAAGCGATCGAATTCATTCGCAAGTCCAACACAACCGCCCGACGCTATACAGATCTTCATCGCCACGATATCACCATGGCTGCAGGGCAACTAGTCCTTCTCGACACGAAGAACCTTCGCCTGCCCCTGCCTTCAAAACTTCGCACGCGATTCTGTGGACCTTTTCGTATTGTCAAGATTATGACACCTGTCACGGCGAAATTATTACTTCCGGACGAGTGGCGCGTTCACGACGCCTTCCACGTCAGCCTGCTTCGTCCCTACGTCGCCAGCACGTCTGCAGTCGCACGACCAGCGGCCGCCCCAAGTGTCCGCCCGATGGCTGAACTGACCCTTGAGCCTTTCCGGCTTTTTAGTCATCGAGTCCGCCTCGACTCAACTGGTCGCCACGTGGATTTTCTTGTCCGCTGGGTTGACCGTACAAGCGAAGACGACACATGGGTCACTTCCGCCTCGCTTCAGGAACACTCGGTGCTCAAATCTTATTTTACCCGAAAAGGCGTTCCCGATGTTGATCACCTTCCTTAGGAGGGGGGTAGTGTAAGGAATTTTATTCCTTACCGGATTGTAGTGCAATCGCGTACACCCGAACTCTCGGAAGACCAGGCTCGGTCCGTTTCTGACGCGACCCCGAGGCACGCCCGCGCCGCCTCCGACCTTTTCGACTGCGCCTATACCCAACCTAGCCCTCTGGGTTCGTCGCCTAGCTAGAGCACTCGCTATATAATGCTAGGCAATCTTTCTTGTACTCGTGAATATTATTCCGCGCACTCTCAGTTATTATTCACATCATCGAGTCAACGGAGGTTACACGAGGAGGTTGGACGAAAGAACACGTAAGGAAGATCCTAGGGCTTTTCTACGCTGCCCTTTCCTCCATCCTTCCTACGCTGCCTTGAAGACAGTAACTGGTTTTCCTCGTTACAAGGCCCTCAGAGCGCGCACCTACTCAACCCAGCCTCCCAGGCCACCGCCTCCTCACCTCCGCTCTGCTTTCCTTCACCCACCTGGTTTCTCCCCCCCCACTCGCCAGTCTGACCTTTATCCTCGCAAAAAAAGTGGAGCAGAACCCCCACCTACACACCCCTCCAACACTTGTCACTCGTGACTCGTCCCTCATCCTCTGAGTCAGAGTTTCCGCGTATGCCGAACGTCATACTCACCTGGGTTGCACGGGCCGTCGGCGTCCGGCGTCCCATGGCTGCGCGGCAGCGTAGGGGATCGGAATAGGATCCGCGGCCGATTGGCGCGCGCGGAGCTTTGCGCCCGCCCGCCCCCCGGCCGCACGCGCTGGTCTCCGCTCCGCTCTCTTTCTCCGCTCCTCCCCGTTCCGCTCCGCGCCGATCGTCAAAAGTCAGACTTTTAAGAATGTCCCGCTCGCCCCTTCCTTCTGCACACGGCGTGTACACGGGGTGTCCCGCCCCTTCCCGCCTTCCGCACACGGCGTGTACACGGCGTTCCCTCCTCCCAAAGAGTCGCACGCCCTCCTTCACCGAAAGAGCTTCCGAGAGTCTCCTCCGGAACAAGAGTCGATCGAGTCTCTTGCGAGGTCGGGCGGATATGCTGCGGCCCTTCCTGTCTCGATCCTCCCCCGCCCCCACCCTCTCGCCCACTGATTGCTTCCAATTGCTCCCAGGCAAGTCGCCCCGCGTGGAATCTAGTTCTAAGGCCGCCTCTGAACTAGTCGCCCGGCGTGGCTCGGCGCGCTAGCCTGGCTGGCATCAGCCCGCCAGGCAGCACTGCTACAGTACCTGCTCTTCGTTGCGTGACGCGCGGATCCGATCCTGCTCGTGACTTGTGAGTCGACTCAAAAGTCAAATCGACTGCAGCACTTGTCTGTACTACTAGCACGTACCTGATCGTCGCTGGATGACGCGGGCGGCGGGTAACTTCGGATCGGAAGTTTGACGCGCGGCGGCTCAAGTTCATTGCGTAACGCCCGCCCCTCGCGAAGAGTTACTGTACAGTACTATTCGCGAACAGTAGTAGTGTCGACAAGTTACTACTACCTGCTCGTCGTTGCATGATGCACGGCGGGTAATTTCAGGTCGGAGAAAGCTTGACGCGCCGATGCTCGCGCATCGCCCCCGCGAATAGTAGTACCGTGCAGTACAGTAGTGTCGGCAGATTGGGTCTGGCCGAGAGAGAGGGCCAGGCTGGCCGACCAGCTCCTCTCAGGCCGCCCGAGGTCAACTCAACCCCAATTTTGAAACGCTGTTTGGCGTTTCCTCCGCTCTTACCACCACTGCTACAATAGAAGCGAGCTCCAAGTCAGACTTCTTCCAAGTCTCACGCGCGGTGAAGCCTGCTACCACTTTTGAGGAGCCTCAAAAGTCTGTCGCGCTGTGAAGCCTGCTATCACTTCATGGTGAAGTATGACTGGCTAGTATTACTGTTGTCCTACTCTTTCCGAGGGACAGAGTCCCCTTCTGGTTGACGCCAGGACGCGGTTTCCCTTGAGACAGGGTCCGCCCACCGAGCCCGGCCGCGTGGTTTCGCCACGAAGAATCCCCATTCCCCTCCCCCACCCCCGCCCACCCCCGCCCACCCCCGGTCCCTCCCCTCTCCCCTCCCCTTCTGGAGCGAGCCACGCGTCGAGCGGTTCTTTCCCCCTCCTCACCGCATGGTTGCACAGAGCAGGCGTCTCGCATCGCTTCGCGTCACGGCGCTGCCGCTCTTAGTAAGCACGTTCCTTCTCTAGAGTTCTAGTACTAACGCGCTACAGTTAAAGGATCGGTTTCTCGAGTCGCACAGCGACTCGATTGACGGTTCTGTTACCATCCTTGCAGTTGTAACGGTCAGTCGCAACCTCCGGTTGCGACTCTTCGTGTCCATTCGTGTTCTTTGTCCGCCCCTTCGTGTAACCTTCGTTGACTCGCGTACCCGTTATGACTTTTTCTCAAGTGTAGTGTTTACACTTCAGAAACGCTTCCGAGTAGTTGTACGGACGATGTTGTTGCTTTACTGTAGGTCAGTCCGGTCGTCGGCATAGAGACGAAGTAGAGTAGTGCCCGATTTAATTTCTCGAGATCTTCTTGTTCCGACTGTTTTAGATGCGTCGCCAGTTGGCTCGTGCTGTAGGATAGGTCAGGTCGACAGGTTACTGCTGCGAATAGTAGGCAGCCGAGCTTCTGCTGATACTCCTGGATTTGCTTCGCGGGGAGTTTTGCGGAGGTGTCGTTGTTGTTCTCGTAGCGGTAGGGAGTCGCGACTATAGTTGGTGTTAGTCCGAACTTCTTTGCGACGACGCCTGCGTATTTTCC